TATCGATTCTCCGGTAAACAAGTACGTCCGAAAATGGCTGGAAGTACCTATATCTGGAACATTAAGTAACATCTTTCTAACCCGTAATAAGTTTGGTCTAAATATCATCCCTGCATCCGTCAAGTTCATTCAGTGTCAAACAGTTCTACGCAATGCCCTAAAAACATCTCCAAACGATTCAATAAACGAACTGTGGAAGTCAACTAATAATCATACTAACATTCAATACGATAGCTACAACTCAACTAAAGAAGTTTTAAAAACTTTCCATTCTCAACAAGAAAATAAACTTAGGAACCGTTTGAAATGTCAAGGTTCCTTTTTCGAAAATGTTTCTAAATTTTCGCTATCACAACTTAAAGCAATCTGGTCGGTATCGCAATCAAAGCTACCAAAGAACATTTTCAACTTTACAATTCGCTATATAAATAATACCCTTCCTACCCGAAAGAACCTCAGTAGATGGGGAATTTCATCAAGTTCTGACTGCTCGTTCTGCTTACACCCTGAATCACTTCTGCACGTTGTTGCCGGTTGTCAACATTACTTGGAACGATTTACTTGGAGACACGATTGCATACTATAGTTTCTTGCAAAAACCTTTCAAAGTTTAAACGAATGCAAATTACTTGTTGATCTTCCTGGATTTGAAAGCCCCTCGATTATTACGGGTGATGAATATCGTCCTGATTTACTTGTCTCCACTTCAGACAAACACCTCTACGTTGTTGAACTTACCGTAGGCTTTGAATCAAACCTCACAAACAATGTTAACCGCAAGAAAGCTAAATATAAGAACCTAATTAGAGAACTAGATCAAAACTTTACATCTGTTAAATTTATAAATCTTTCAGTCAGTTCGCTAGGGGTGTTTGACAAAGAATGCCATACATTTGTAAAAATGCTAAATGAGTTAGGACTGGATAATCAACACCAACAATATTGTATCAGAAAAATGATATCTATTGCCATCCGATCAACGTACTACATATTTTGCTGTAGAAATAAAGAATGGACAAATCCTGAACTAATGAACATTTAAAGTAACTATTTCTATAAATAATTAACAATTTTTGTATATAAAACTATAACCATGTATAAGTGATTCAAGTAGTCAATTGTAGGTTACCTCAAGAAGTGAGATTTACAATTGTATATATCTATAAATGTTCTATTAATAAAGTTTTCATTATTATTATTATTATCATTATTATTATTATTATTATTATTATTATTATTATTATTATTATTATTATTATTATTATTATTATTATTATTATTATTATTATTATTATTATTACGCCAATCGTAAGCGTCAAAAGTACCGTGATCTAATCAATGAGCAGGAAGCAGATTATGATAAAGTCAAGTTCGTCAATTTATCCTTGAGTACCCTCGGAGTTTTTAGCCGATCTTGTGAAAATTTCGATGGCATGCTAAGTAGCCTTAAATGTGATGCCAAGTATAGTAAATACATAAAAAAGCAAATCGTGAACATATGCATACGGACATTATATTATGTATTTTGTAAACGAAACAAGGTGTGGGATAACCCAAAATTAATGTTAATATAATCCTTCCAAAAATAATTATTGTACAATAAATATATAGTATCAATTCAAGTAGACATTGACAAACTACCTGTAAAGCGAGGTTTATCATTGTAGTTGTATATATCCTAATAATCAATAAATAAAGTTTCCATTATTATTATTATTATTATTATTATTATTATTATTATTATTATTATTATTATTATTATTATTATTATTATTATTATTATTATTAAACTGCGCAACCTTCTTAATAAGTCTAATACTACGGACCCAAATAACACTGATAGTCATGCGTCTGCAAATATTGATCACGACAGTCTGATTGGTAAAAGTTTCTGGGGTTTCGTTAAACGATTTTTCAAAAAGAATACTAGCTCATTTCCATCATTTA